AGCTAACTGAGATTAAATAATGATAAATTACTTCCTTTAGATATAATAATCATTATGATTATTATTGTAGATCTGTCACGATTGCACATGAGAAACAATCATGTGCCAAGTGTGGGAATGTAGCACCAGCTGGTAGAACGTGAAATCAATCAACCATAAAAAGGAGTCACCAAAACAAGATATTGCACCAACTTCTACTTATTGTTACGATCAAAAAGGAAGTCAAGGAAGTCAGAGAAGTCGAGGAAGTCGAGAAAGTCAAGTAGGTCAAAACAGTTTATTAACAAATCTTTATTTTGTAGTCGTGCGCGGATCGAAACATACGCCAACCGTGAAGTGTGATGCTCATTCACCAGTTGTAAAGTGTGGGTTGGTGTCAGGAAGAAATAGATCGTAGTGGAAAGATCTATATAACAATAATATATCATCATTTTTTTTCCAGAATCATTTTTGTTGACTTCTATATCCAACTTCGAATATGGGACGAATTTCACCGAATATTAAAGAAGGCACCAAGGTTTCCGTTTTGGATTCAGTTGTGAGTGAAAACACTGCTCGTCCGCTCTTAGGAGACATGTGAAAAACCAAATGACTTTCAGCCACAGTTTTACGAGTAGCATCCAGTACCAATCATTGGGTAATTAGTCTTGATGCCCAACCAGAGATGGAAATCGAGATCTCGGCGGGTCGAATGAAATTCGAAGCCATTTCCACGGCTAATGATGAACCAAATTCCAATCTAAATAATATAAATAACGAATCAGAGGAGTCAGCTAATAGTGAAACTGATATTTCGAGTGATAGCGACCAAAGCGTAAATAGAGAAACAGCAATTGCCAGAAATACAAATAATATGTTGTGAAAGGATGGAGTAGTCACCATCGATCCTCGTAAAATATCCCGTTCCTATTCCAATGCACCAATCGTAAATATCCTGATATCACACATGCATCGCCAAGGCAGTTCTTTGAGCATTTTTTATCCGTCAAGTATATCATGTCAACAGTAATAACAATGACGAATAAATGTACACGCGCATGCGAACAAACATGAAATAACTTAACTTGGATGGAATTCATGCGTTTTATTGGCATTCTGACGATTATGACATATGTAAAATGTACTGATATCTGTGATTACTGGTCTATTAAATCAGAAACAGGTGGGGTTGCGCTGGCGTTTGGGTGATATATGTCTCACAAATGATTTCGTGACATTATAAAATATTTGGCGTTAACAGATGTACCAGCAAACGATGATCTCTTTTATTTTGCACGGCAATTTCATGATGCGTTTAATGACAATCTCATTAAAGCTATTGTACCCGGTGCTTACCTTTGTATCGATGAATCAATGTGTCAATGGATGAGCAAGGTCGATAAGGGTCCATTTCAATGAAAGAT